AGACCAGGCACGGTGGCTCACACCTGTGATCCCGGCACTTTGGGAAGTTGAGGCGGGTGGATTGCCTGAGCTCAGGAGTTCATGACCAGCCTGGGCAACAGGGTGAAACCCTGTCTCTACTAAAATACAAAAAATTAGCTGGCCATGGTGGTGTGCACCTGTAGTCCCAGCTACTTGGGAGACTGAGGCAGGAGAATTGCTTGAACCCAGGAGGCAAAGGTTGCAGTGAGCCAAGATCACACGACTGCACTCCAGCCTGGGTGGCAGAGTGAGACTCTGCCTCAAAAAAAAAAAAAAAAAAAAAAAAAAGATCAAGCTTCAGAAATGGCATGTTACCATCCAAGCGCTTTGTGAATCCCGGGAAGTCACAAAGCCAGAGTCTGATGGGAAAGGCTTTCTGTCTGCCTGTGGCCAGGCAGTTTTTGAACCCCTTCATTGGTCCTGCTGGCCACAGGAGCTGAAAGAAAATGGCGGAATCAGCAAATATTTATTGTGTGCCTGCTCTGTGTTGGGTGCTTTGGAGAATAAGAATAAGGTCAAGTCAAAGAGGAGCAGGGAATTCCTGCCTACAGGCAGTGTTTGCCCAGGGCCAAGGGAGTGGGAGATACTCAGTGACACAGGACCCACTGGGGCTGGGAAGGCTTCTAGAGGGGAAGGAGATGTGTGAAGAAGACATAGTTAGTTGTGGAGACTCACCTCTGCCCGTGAAATGTCTGGATTTGGTAACTGGCCCCAGTTAGGAGACTATATTAGTTTTCTATTGCTGCGTAACATATGCCCACACAATGTGGCAGCTTAAACCAGCGTCCATTTATCATCTCACAGTTCCATAGGTCAGAAGTCCAGGCAGGCTCTACCGGGCCCTCTGCTCAGGACCTGGAAAGGCTGAAATCAAGGTGTGAGCTGGCCAGGCACTCATCCAGAGGTTCCAGGAAAGAACCCACTTCCGAGCTAACGGAGGTGGGGGCTATTCCATCCTTTCAACTGTAGGATGAGGCCCCGGTTTCCCTGCTGGCTGTCCTCAGGGTGCTGCTCTCCACTCCTAGAGGCCACTCTCTGGTCCTTTCCTCCATTTCCAATCTAGCAGCAGTGCATCAAATCCCCCTCCTATTTTGAGTACCTGACTTCCTCTTCTGTTACCACCTGGAGAAAATAGTCTGCTTTTTAAAAAGAAAATTTCGGCTGGGCACGGTGGCTGATGCCTGTAATCCCAGCACTTTGGGAGGCTGAGGTGGGTGGATCACCTGATGTCAGGAGACCAGGCTGGTCAACATGGCAAAACCCCATCTGTACTAAAAATACAAAAATTACCCAGGCGTGGTGGTATGCACTTGTAGTCCCACCTACTTGGGAGGCTGAGGCAGGAGAATTGCTTAAACCCGGGAGGTGAAGGTTGCAGAGAGTCAAGATCTCGCTGCTACACTCCAACCTGAGTGAGAGTGAGACTCCATCTCAAAAAAAAAAAAAAAAAGGTGGAATCCAAGATGATCAGCAAGTCTAGAGCATGGGGAAGAAGATGGCAGGATCATTAATAGAAATATAGTCATGCGTCGCTTAATGATGGGAATACGTATGTTCTAAGAAATGCATCATTAGGTGATTTAGTCATTGTGCAAACATCACCGAGTGCACTTACACAAACCTAGATGGCACAGCCTACTGCACACCAATGCTATATGGCGAGCAGTTCAAACCTGTACAGCAGGCTACTGTGCTGAATACTGTAGGCAACTATAACATAATGGTATGTATTTGTGTATCTGAACACATCTAAACATAGAAAAGGTACAGAAAATATACTGTACTGTATTATAACCTTATAGAGCCACTGTTGCAGGCTGGGCGTGGTGGCTTATGCCTGCAATCCCAGCACTTTGGGAGGCTGGGATGGGCAGATTGCTTGAGTCCAGTAGTTTGAGACCGGCCTGGGCAACATAGTGAAACCCCTGTCTCTACAAAAAATACACAAATTAGCTGGGCGTGGTGATGCATGCCTATAGTCTCAGCTACTCGGGAGATTGAGGTGGGAGGATTGCTTGAGCCTGGGAGGTCGAGCCTGCATTGAACCGAGAGTGTGCCACACTGCATTCCCACTCCAGCCTGGGTGACAGTGAGAACCTGTCTCAGAAAAAAAGAAAAAGAAGAAAAAAAAACCCACCGTTGCATATGCGGTTCATCATTGACTAAAATATCAGTATCCAGTGTGTGACTGTAAACCCCAAGGCTAATTCTGCGGTGACAGGAAGGGCACCAAGTTTCTGTGTGGATTTCAAATATTCTGTATCCTCAGGCTTTGTTAATCCATGTGTTCTGCCTTCAGAGAAGTCAGTTCCCCCAGCAAGGAGCGGTCAGGGCCACCCAGCTTTATGCCTTGACTCCTGGTTACTGTTTTGAGGCCTAGGAACAGCTGAGACCCTGCAGGTGTTAAGACCCAAACAGGGTGAGGGTGAGGGCGTCAGAATCACCACCAGCCGATGTCAGCATCTGGAGCTGAATACAGAGACCCCTCTTGGCCAAATGTTCTGGGCAGCATCCATGTGCAGGTGGGACTGACTTTTTGGACACTGCCTGGGAGCTCACACGGACGGTCACACTGCGATGTCAGTGGGGCTGTGAGCAGTCATCGCACCTCCCAGCTGTTCCTCCAGGACAGTCATTTCTGGGCATATCTGCTGGCAAATTAGATCATTGGTCATTTATATTTTTCTTTCCCTATCTCTCTCTACCCATTCTGTTTTCAACAGGTGATGATAATAAAGGTGCTTTCATGGAAAATATGGGATCTCTGTAAAGAGAAGATCCCGTTCTGCGAGTATGGCTTGCTAAGTTGGGTAATTTATCTGTTGACACGCTTCTCAGTCACTTTTTCACCTTGGTTTTTCCAGATGGCTGGGGCTTGATCACTCACAGGAGGAGGGAACTTCTTTGTGTTCTGTTCTTGCACTATTTGGAGAGTTACCATCTCAACAATGCCAACACCCCTAAAACAACAGTCAACATCAGACACGTAATCAAGAGCTTCAGCGGGAAGGATGGCCAAGTTGGATGCTTTCCATCAGGGCCATTCCAGCTGTGATTCTCTGTGCAATGGGAGTCTGGTTGAGAGGGACATCAGAAAGATGACAGCGAGGAAGGGACCTTTTATACTAGGTGTTAAGGGATGGCTGGGACTGGATTAAGTAGGCAGGAGATGGGAAGACCTTGCAGGCTTGGTGAGAGCTGAGTAAAGCCATTCAGATTTGAATCAGCATGATTTATTTATGGAGTGTGAGGCGGCTGCCTTGGACCAAGGGAGGTGTTTCTTCTTAATCTAAGAAAATGGGCCGGGCGCAGTGCTCATGCCTATAATCCCAGCACTTTGGGAGGCTGAGGCGGGCAAATCAATTGAGGTCAGGAATTCGAGACCAGCCTGACCAACATGGCGAAATCCCATGTCTACTAAAAATAAATTAGCTGGGTGTGGTGGGCGCCTGTAGTCCCAGCTACTTGGGAGGCTGAGGCAGGAGAATTGCTTGAACTCGGGAGGCAGAGGTTGCAGCACGCTGATATCACACCACTGCGCTCCAGTCTTGGTGGCAGAGCAAGACTCTGTCTCAAAGAAAAAAAAAAAGAAAAGAAAAGAAAGAAAATGACTCCCTGCCCTCTTCCTTCTCCCTCATATTAAAGCTTAGGATTTCTGAACTTTTCTCTGTTCCCTAGGGGTCCAGATGAATTTGTAGGGAACCACCCTCTCTGGCTTGGCCTCAACCTCAAGGGCACATCTGTGGGATGCTGTTTTCCCTTTAAGTTTACTCCTTGCCTCCCAGTCAAGGTCTTTTCCCTTGCCCTTACCTGTTTGCTTTAAAAAGCACTATTTTTTTTTTTGTTTGTTTGTTTTGGTTCAAGTGATTCTCCTGCCTCAGCCTCCTGAGTAGCTGGGATTACAGGCGTGCGCCACCACACCTGGCTAATTTTTATATTTTAGTAGAGACGAGGTTTCACCATGTTGACCAGGCTGGTCTCGAACTCCTGACCTCAGGTGATCCGCTTGCCTTGCCCTCCCAAAGTGCTGGGATTACAGGCATGAGCCACTGGGCCCAGCCAATTAAAAAGCACTATTTTTAACCAAGGAACTTTACTTGCTTTGTTTTCGTTTTTGCAGACAGATGCAGTATTAAAGTTGAATGCATTTGAATGCCATTACTGTCCATAGTTCAACATTTGACCTCTTTGGCAACTAAACAGTATTTTATATATATTATGTTGTTGCACATTTTCTAGAGGAGCATGGCGGGATGGGGTCTGTTTTTGGTCCTCATGTCTTGAAGAGCTTTTTCCTCTTCATGCTGGTGGGCCACACTTCGCTAGAGATTCTTTTCTGTTCTTTGAATCCAGACTACAATAGGACAAATTAACTCCAGTGGTCATACAAGTCATGAAGAAATGAATTTAATAGTGTATCAGTTAGGATTCTGTTATGACATGTACCCAAATCATCTGGAAATAGTTTAAGCCAAAGAGAAGAATTTATTTAAAAGATTCAGGAACATACGAGATCTAAGGCCAGGAATACAACTGTGACTCAGGAAGGGACTTTAAGTAGGAACGGGAAAACCAGCAAGAAGCCAGGCATCCCCTTGGTGTGCTTGCTGCGACGTGCACTCTGTGCAGAGTGGCTGTCCCTGCTTCCAGTCCACCCAGAAGGCAAGAAAGGGCCAGCCTGAGGCCCTCAGATTGTAATCCCCTTCATTCAAGAGAACAGCCAAGGCTGTCTGTGGTGGCTCATGGCTCATCCCAGCACTTTGGGAGGCCGAGGTGGAAGGATCATTTGAGTCCAGGAATGTGAGACCAGCCTGGGCAACATAGTGAGACCCCACTTCTACAAAAAATACAAAAGAATTAGCTAAGCATGGTGGCACATGCCTGTAGTTCCAGCTACTCAAGAGGCTGAGGTAGGAGGATTGCTTGAGCCTGGGAAGTCAGAGGCTGCAGTGAGCAGTGATTGTGCCAGTGCACTCCAGCCTGGGTGACGGAGCAAGACCATCTTAAAAAAAAAAAAAAAAGATAGAACAGGAGACTGGCCAAGACTCAGTGAGGATCTGTTTGTCTCATTTCCAAAGGTGTCCTGGAGAACCAACGTTAGTGCAGTCAATAGTGGTCAGTGTGGAGTCGCAAAACACAAACTCCAGCTGTTGGAAGCCTGGCCTCTAGAAGGGGTCCACTTCCTCCAAAGGCACCTGCTTCAAATGTCCCCCCTGCTAAACCAGAATCATTGCTGTTAGGATGACCGTTCTATTTCAGAAGGAACTAGAGGACTCTGCAGAGATGGTGGCGGAGGCGAGATCTATGTCTGGAAGGGCCATGTATAAAAAACAGGGACCTGCCGTGTTTCTGCTCCTTACCACTTCTGAGTTGTCCGATTTTACAGAAGAGGACTTGAAAGATGTAAGACATGGCCAATAACTCATCATCTGCCTCTGCTCCAAAACCACATTCTACTAAAAAAAGGTACTCACAGTGAATTGTTTAAAGGTTTTTTTTTGTTGTTGTTGTAAAGGATGCAGACTTAAAAATTATTTTTGGAAGACAGTTTGCAAACTATTAGTAGAGAATACTAAGAGGAAGCTTTCTGGGGTGGATTTGTTTAAACAGGCCCCTAGCTGATGGGAGAATGGCTGTTTTCATGTTCCTTGAGAACCGTTGTGTTTTAATAGAGACAGCATCGATTCTGGAGTCAGAAGACTAGATTGGGTCTCAACTCTGACACCAGGTTTGTGGCTTTGGACAAGTTATTTTATCTCTACACCTCAGTTCTAATTCTGAGAAGTGAGATAAGTATCATATTAAAATCTACTTCCTGGTGTCAGGAAGAGTAGATGAATTAATGCACATTTATGTACTTGGCATTCTTCTTTGCGCTTAAGCATTCAGTAAATAGTCTTATAAAAATGATGACACCTGTTTGATATTAGTGAAGGGTTAATGAGAAAAGATCAAATTGTGCTTGACTGTTAATTTTTTAAAGCATATTCTGTGAATCATATTTCTTTAAAAAGCATTTTGCTAATGTTGTCTATGTTTAGCTATTTAATAAAAAGTTATATTTTTATTTTTAAAAGGAAAAAAAGTGAGTGTTTTGTGTGTCATAAGAAAGGCACCCCTGGCCTATGCCTTTTGATGTGGGTCATGAGATTTGTTGTTTGATTTTATTTTATTTTTGAAACAGAGTTTTGCTCTGTTGCCCAGGCTGGAGTGCAGCAGTACAATCTCGGCTCACTGCAAACTCTGCCTCCCGGGCTCAGGCAATTCTCCTGCTTCAGCCTCCTGAGTAGCTGGGATTACAGGCATGAACCACCATGCCCAGCTAATTTCATATTTTTAGTAGAGACGGGGTTTTGCCATATTGGCCAGGCTGGTCTCAAACTCCTGACCTCAGGTGATCCACTCGCCTTAGCCTCCCAAAGTGCTGAGATTATAGGTGTGAGCCACCACGCCCAGTCAATTTTTTTGTTTGTTTTAAATTATAATAAAATACACATAACATAAAACTTACTAACTCGGCTGGGTGTGGTGGTTCACACCTGTAAGTCCAGCACTTTGGGAGGCTGAGGTGGGTGGATCACGAGGTCAGGAGATCAAGATCAGCCTGGCCAACATGGTGAAATCCCATCTCTACTAAAAATACAAAAAATTAGCTGGGCGTGGTGGTGCATGCCTGTAGTCCCAGCTACTCAGGAGGCTGAGGCAGAAGAACCACTTGAACCTGGGAGGCAGAGGTTGCAGTGAGCCGAGATTGTGCCACTGCACTCCAGCCTGGGTGACAGAGTAAGACTCTGTCTCACAAAAACAAAAAACAAAAACCAAAAAAACAAAAAAATTTACTGCCTCAAGGATTTTAAAGTGTATAGCTAAATAGTAGTAACAACATTCACATGGTTGTGTAACCATCACCAATCTATCTCCAGAACTCTTTTCATCTTGCAAAACTGAATCTCTCTACCCATTAAACCATAACTCAGCCAGGTGCTGCACACCTGGGAGGTTGAGGCAGGAGGATCCCTTGAGCTCAGGAGTTCAAGATCAGCCTGGGTAACATAGTGAGACCTCATCTCTACAAAAAAGTCTAAAAATTAGCCAGGTGTGGTGGCACATGCCTATAATCTCAGCTACTTGGGAGGCTGAGGTGGGAGGATGGCTTGGACCCAGGAGGTTGAGGCTGCATTGAGCTGTGATTGTACCACTGCACTCCAGATTGTACCACTGGGTAATAAAGTGAGACCCTGCCTCAAAAATAAAATAAAATAAACAATAACTCCCCATCCTTCCATTTGGCAATCACCATCCTACTTTCAATCTCTAGGAATTTGACTCTTCTAGGTAACTCATATAAGTGGACTCATACAGCATTTGTCTTATTTCATTTAAGATAATGTCCTCAAGGTTCATGCACATTGTAGCATGTGTTGTGTTGCCCAGGCTGGTCTTGAACTCCTGGCTTTAAGCTATTCTCCTACCTCAGCCTACCCAGTAGCTGGGACTACAGGTGTGCACCACCATACCCAGCTAGAATTTCCTTGCTTTTTGTTTGTTTGTTTTGAGATGGAGTTTTGCTCTTATTGTCCAGGCTGGAGTGCAATGGTGCAGTCTCGGCTCACTGCAACCTCTGCCTACTGGATTCAAGCAATTCTCCTGCCTCAGCCTCCCGAATAGCTGGGACTACAGGCATGCACTACCACCCTCAGCTAATTTTTGTATTTTTAGTAGAGATGAAGTTTCACCATGTTGATCAGGCTGGTCTCAAACTCCTGACCTCAGGTAATCCACCTGCCTCGGCATCCCAAAGTGCTGGGATTACAGGCATGAGCTACCGTGCCCAGCCTGTTTGTTTGTTTTTTTGTTATTTTTTGAGACAGGGTCTGGCTCTGTCACCCAGGATAGAGTGCAGTGGTGTGATCTTGGCTCACTGGAACCTCTGCCCCTCAAGCTCAAGCCATCCTCCTACCTCAGCCTCCTGAGTAGCTGGGACTACAGGTGTGCGTCACCGTGCCTGGTTAATTTTTGTATTTTTTGTAGAGACAAGGTCTCACTTTGTTGCCCAGGATGCTGGACTTGAACTCCTAAGCTCAAGCGATCTACCTGCCTTGGCCTCCCGAAGTGCTGGGATTACAGGTGTGAACGACCGCACCCGGCCATAGAATTTCTTTACTTTTTGGCTAGGCATGTTGGCTCACACCTGTAATCCCAGCGGTTTAAGAGGCCGAGGTGGGCAGATCAGTTGAGGTCAGGAGTTCGAGACCAGCTTGGCCAACATGGTGAAACCCCGTCTCTACTAAAAGTATAAAAATTAGCCAGGCGTGGTAGCGGATGCCTGTGATCCAGCTACTCAGGAGGCTGAGGTGGGAGAATTGCTTGAACCTGGGAGGTAAAGGTTGCAGTGAGCTGAGATAGTGCCACTGCACTCTAGCCGGCGTGACAGAGCGAGACTCTGTCCCCCCCCCAAAAAAAAAAAAAACCTTTACTTTTTAGTAGAGATGGGGTTTCGCCATGTTGGCCCAAAAAAAAAATTTTTTTTTTGTATGTATAGACCACATTTTGTTTATTTGTTTATTCATTCATCTGTGGATGGACAGTCGGGTTGATGGACAGCTGGCTATTGAGAATAATGCTACGGACAGGGTGTACAGATATCTCCTAGAGGCCCTGCTTTCCGTTCTTTTGGGTATATACCCGGAAGTGGAATCGCTGATAAGTAGTTCTATTATTAGTTTTTCAAGGAACCACCACGCTGTTTTTCACAGCAGCTGAACTATTTTCCATTTCCACCAACAATGTACAAGGGTTCCAATTTCTCCACATCCTGGCCAATGCTTGTTATTTTCTGTTTTCTTGACAGTAGCCAACCAGATGGTTGCAAGATGGTATCTCATTGTGGTTTTCGATTTGTATTTCCCTAATGACCAGTGATGTTGAGCATATTTTCATGGTTTTTTTGGCCATTTATATATGGGTCGTGAGTTCTTGATTAGACAGTGCTATATGATGATGCTATACTTAGTTGTAGGAAATGTCCCTAATGGGGCAAAATGCTATGTTTTACATCTCTAGAGACAGGAAGTAGATTGGTGGTTGCCTAGGGCTGGGGCAAAATGAGAGTGACTACTAATCGGCAGGGGCTGCTTTCTGCAAACGGTGAAATGTAGTGAAATAGATGGTGGTGGTGATGACTATACAATTCTAGGAACATACTAAAAACCATTGAATTGTACACTTTAAATGGGTGAATTTTATGTTCTCTAGTGTCTCAATAAAGCTGGTCTAATATGCTTTTTTTGGAAAATAGACCTAAAACAGGAGCAGTGATGGTAGGTAGCAAAGGTTGCCACTTCATTGGCCAACTTTACCCAGTAGGAGGGAATGTTCCACGTTTTTGGTGAATTTACAACCAAGAGGTTCTCTCCTTGGAAAATCTGGAGGAGTGCCCCCTTGCAAGCTCACTTCCTGGACCAGGGAGAAAGATCAGTGACTAATAAAGCTAGAGGAAAGACCACAAATGATTTGAGTTTAGAGGTGCTAGAAACGCATTTTAGTAGAGTTTGGGATAGAGGGTGTTGAGGCCCCTTTCCAACAGTGATACCATCAGAGACCTCAGGTGTTACCGAAGAGAACACCGCCCCTTCACACCTCCTCTCTGTCCTTTTCAAAATGAGGAAAGGGCTGGGCGCCGTGGCTCATGCCTGTAATCCCAACAGTTTGAGAGGCTGCCAGTAGATCACCTGAGGTCAGGGAGTTCCAGACTAGCCTGGCCAACATGGCGAAATCCTGTCTCTACTGAAAATACAAAAATTAGGCCGGGCGCAGTAGATTACACCTGTAATCCCAGCACTTTGGGAGGCCAAGGCGGGCAGATCACGAGGTCAAGAGATCGAGACCATCCTGGTCAACATGGTGAAACCCCATCTCTACTAAAAATACAAAAATTTGCTGGGCATGGTAGCGCATGCCCGTAGTCCCAGCTACTCGGGAGGCTGAGGCATTAGAATCACTTGAAGCCAGGAGGCAGAGGTTGCAGTGAGCCAAGATCATACCACTGAACTCCAGCCTGGGTGACAGAGTGAGAGTCTGTCTCAAAATAAACAAACAAACAAACAAACACACAAACAAACAGAATGAGGAAATGGATCCAGCGAGAGGAAATGACTGAGCCTAGGTGCATGGCCAATTAGTAGCAGAGCCAGAGCTTCTAGCTCTCTTGCCTGGGCAGCTTCATTCAAGCTCCACGCATCCAATCTAGTCCAGCCAACAGCCTCTGTCTCCACAGCATCAGCTGCTGAGGAGGAGTAGGGATGACGGATACCAACTGCAACCCTCTCCAGAGGGCCTCTGTCTGTGCGCACTGCAAATGTCTGACTTTCCCCACATGTGGTTCCGGCAGCTTTTGTTGGAGCAGCATTCTCTCCTGTTCTCACTCAGCTGCAACTCCCTTCCTGCACCATCTGGAACGCGGCTAG